ATAAATGGGCAAGTGTATGGAAGCGTGTGCGTATACGCCTTTAATTATTATCTAAGTAATATATGTTTTCCCCCATCTTAGCAATATGTGTGCAAATGTAACGCAAGTAAGCTTGCATTAGATGTTTCTTTAGCTTCTTTCCAAGTCATGTGTGCTTATTTGCTATGTAACAACGTGCAGTCATCTTGTAGAAATATCTACTCTTCTTGTTCTCTTGATGTGTGAGTCCTGTAAACTTCAATAACCAAGATCTGACTTAAATTCAAATAATTGAAATAACTTCGTATACACGCGTATGACAATAAATGTTTAGAGTACAGGTTGCTATTATGTCTGCAGGCGTGCATACGCACACATAGACATATAACTTCACGTACCGTGGCATTCGCTTATACAAACATGCGTCCACATATATAATTACAATTATATTAATTGTTGTTGTTTGTGATACATTTATGGAGTGAAAGATTAAATAAATATACACTCAAAAAAAAAAAAGGAATGAAAAATATTTGTAAAAATGTCTTGAAAATGTTCATGACCACTTGGGACTTGTTAAGGGGCAAGATGGGTGCCTTGTGTCCATTAAAAACAGATATCAATTGCCTAACCTGACTTTAAGAGAATGAAGAAGAGTCAGAGTACAAGAGCAAGGCAAGATTATGATTCCAAACGCAGTAACTATCGTAAGATTCTATCAAAAATTGATTACAAAAACAATTTATTTCGAGGGTTTTTTTTTTTTTTGTTTTCTTCCTAAAATCCTTCTTCTCCTTTTCTTCGCTTGCTCCATAATCACATATTTATTTCACTCTCGCAGAGCTTAGATGGTATTTACGGCAATAAAAAGAACACTAAAAAAAATCACAAGTTAAAATTACCTCTTAATCTAGAGCAGGTGTTCTTGATAATAAAATGCGCATTATTTTCATCTTTTTATGTTGTTAAAAGCGTTAAAAAATATGGGTATAATGTTTATACCCCTGCATCACTTTTGGTGCAAACAATTTTGTGCACATTCGCATAGCATCTAAGAAAGCTCAACACGATTCAAAATCATTTTCCGAAACGATTGAACACTGTCTGTCTGTCTATGTACCCGACATTTATTCATGCATTAAACTGTCGGTCTGTCTATGTACCCGACATTTATTCATTCCATTTCAAGTTACAGTTCGGAAATTTGGTTCACTGGCTTCAGAGTGAATTCTTTCAAAAATTGATTAGATTTAACTATATTTACGACCATGCTCCGGTTTGTTTTGAAAAGTTCATTACATAAAAAAAAAACTTGCGAATTTTAATATTTTGTGATTAAAAACACTGAGTAATAAGTAGCAGTTTGCCATATAAGTTGCTTTCAAACATTGGATCGGTAGGGCTGTTTTTTGCTCAACCTTTCCCATAAAATCGTTCCTTCGAAAAGTAATCTTGGCGTAGTCTTTAATAGTTTATCATAAAAAACGTCCCGTAGTAGTAATTTCAAATGAAAATTAAGCTTGCCACTTTCGAACTGGAGGCTGCTCTTTAGGCCCCATATCATCTGAGTTTTCCCATGAGAGGTAAGCCTTTATAAGAAGAGAAGATATAATTTTTAGCATCTAATTTTATCACGAAAGTCATCAAAGAATGATACCAGTCAAAATGGTGTAAGGTATTTCGAGGGCGACTTTCTCCGATTAACATGTTTGTACCTGTTTTTTATAAATTCGTTTTGCAAATGCTGGGTTAACGCGCACAATATCGTGCAAATATTATTTTTTCTTGGTCTTATTAACTCAATTGCGAATATTTGTGTTACACAAATGTAAAGCATTTATATATTTATTGATTTTATTCACTGAATCATTTAAATCTAAGACCAAAAAAGTAAGGCAAACATAACCTGTCCATAGCGCCAGCCTATAACAACTTTATATTTGCATAAATCAGACAATTTTCCCTATCAGTGAACATATCTCAAATACTTATTTCAAATACTTAAGAGAAAAACAAAGACAAAATATAAAAACTCACTTGAATATATATAAAATTTTGTGCAATGCATGCACGATCAATTGCATTCAGCAGTAGACATACATTCACACTTTATATCTGCTAGTATGTGTAAGAGTTAATGTAAATTCTCTTCAACGTTTAGTTGAATAAGATGAGCTCTTAGTTATTTAGTTAAGAAATTAAGTAAAGCTTTTTCTCTTTTATTTTGTCCTATTTTTCATTTATACCTGCAATGTTTGCACAAATTAACCTTGGATAACTTAAAGCTTTTGCTTTTATTATTATTGTCGTTACAATTTAAAATGGAAAGATCTTTGTTATTGCAATTATACGAGAAGATTAACGTAAGCTTTTCTTGCATTTTTTAATCTGAAGACGAAAGCTTTTTCTTTTTCTCTTTCTCTTTCTTTTTTTTTTTTTTTTTGAAAATACGCAAGAAGAGAGAAAGAGGTTTTATTTCTTGTTTTTCAGTGGAAAAAAAATGAGGTTTTTATTTTTTCACAGGTAGCTCTCTAACAATTGAGAATAATGCTCTGATGACACCTGTTGTTTTTCTTTCTTCCTTAAAATATCATTCTTTGGACAATTGATGGCATTGTTTAATAAATACTTACTAATATTCATATTGAGGTGATATTAAGTTGTTCTCAATGTCAGTGTATTAGAATAGAAACTGACCCCAAATGTGGGAAACAAAATATTGAATTTGTGAACTTGTTTTAGTATTTCTTAGAACAAGTAAGAACATGTTGTTATAAGAATCCAGGTAAATAACTTGGAACCTCTTCCTTACATGATGCTATGAAATTGTTCATAAAACTTGTTGTATTTTAGAGATTGCATCTGTTATCCTTAACGTTAATGAGACTGTTTAAGGGCTTGTTGTCCATCAAGAAGGGTTAATGTATACCTTGTCTGGGAGCATTAGGCTCAACCAGGCGTAGTAAGAGTAGAGAAAGTTTTACAATCACTTGGCCCACTAGCAGTTGATGCAAAGAGCGCAACATATCCATTGTCGGTAGATGAATATCGCAACTAAGAGTATCTAATGATCGACTGATAGGAATGTATTTGTTCCAACTTCTACGGATCAATTGTAAAGTTATAATTGCATCAAAATTAGTTTCAATCAGACTAAACTATTTTTCTGCTTTTCTCTAAGTGCATCCTCTAGTGCATGTTGAACATGCTTACTTAATATTTATTATTGTTATGTTTATCATTACATTCACTAAACATTTGGAATTGTTGCCAATCGTTGGTGTCGTGCAGACACAGAGCAGCATATTTCGATATTTTAACAAAACAAAAGGATGTGTATGCTTGTGAGAGATAATTTTCTATGCACTGATTGGCCTCTTTTAGGCCATTATTAACTATGTAGTTTAATAATAACGATGTAAAAATGAAATTTTAATGAAACACAAGAAACCCTGAAAAAGGGAAAAAGCCATATAAAGAGTATGTAAGCAAGCGGTTGTCTGCAGTGAAGGATTTACTATTAATTATATATATATATATATATATATATGTATGTGGAAAAAACATTTCTCTACTTATATACTGATAATAAAAGTTTTTCCTTTTCCTAGAATAAACGTATGCGATAACGTACCACCTGATGGCAACAGCACTATATTATTAGATTGCCACTAAACTAAACTTGTCAGGCTATGAAAGAATTCCGAAAAGCAGAGAAAACACAACAAACAACAAAGTAGACAAATTGGTCTTTTGGGTTCCTTTTTTTTCTTTTTTTCTTTGCATGCGAGAGTTTATTAGTCTGCGTTTGTGTAGCAATTGAGCGATGATGCGAATGCTCTCACGTGTCCATGCCAGACGTACGCTCATACACACAAACACAAACACACACGCATGCATAGATTCAGACACACGCGTTTATATCGTTAAAAATAAAAAAAAATAAAACAAAATAAAAAAATAATAAATAATATAATAATAATAGTAATCTGATGAGTCTCATGTGAGAATCCTGGAAATTTTTAATATGAAATTAGTTAATACATTATGCACGCACGCAACATACGCTGATTATAATAAATAGTCTTATTTTATGATATTAATTACACCTATATATAACAAACAAATTAACATGATAGATAATAAGAGCGCATATACATAAATACATCCGATTGAATTAAAAACAAACAAAAATCTTCAAGTAAACTGCTTTGGCCTTCTATCGTAGGTGCTTGAACATGATTTTAAGTATCTCCCGAGTATAAATGTTTTCAAACTTTTGCTTACAATACATTTTTTTTTTGAAATTTTGTTTACTAGTAAATCATTTACTCACAAAAAAACCAAAAAAAAAATAAAGAAGCAGTTTCCATTCTTTGCGGCTGGCACAAGCGCATTTTAATCATCTCTCCTTATCTTTAAAAAAAAAACTTCAAAAAAAGAGTTTCTAAAATTTAGCGCTGAATATGATGAGACACATGATGATATTCTATAGCGAAGAAAGAATAAAAAAAGCTTTTGCAAGTTGTGCGCTTACGTCGATTTCCAGTTTCCACCTTCGAATTTCGAAAGTGAAATTCATGCTATGTGTATGTAGAGCAAATTTATACACCGCAAACACAAACAAATATATATATAGCGATGCACCTTGCAATTGCTTGTTAAAAAATGAAATAAGCTTCCTGCTGAGAATGGAAACCACAAAAAAAAAAAAAAGAAAGTAAAAAGAGAACGTAAGCAAAGGAGAGAAGAACTTTATTTTTACGATATTAAAATGCGTACAAATTTTATTCTCTCACTCTCCGTATTACATTTTTAACTCTCGCACAGCTTCCGTTTGTAAAATGCAAAGAGCAAGCGAGTGATTATTTTGCTTCTATAATGTGTGCGTAGGCAAACCTTTACACATATGTTCAAAAGTGAACAAACAATTGTACGTATCGTGTGCTTAAATTCCAATGGCTCTCATAGCAGCCCGTACGTAGCTGTTGCTCTGCAGTTTTGAGTGTAACTCTAATGAAATTGCCCATTAGTGTGATTTTAGCTCTGAATCGGTGTTGACACGAAGTTTAAGAGAATGTTTACGCATTATATTAACAAAAATGAAAATGAATTATTCTCACTGAAAAGAAGCAAAAGAAATCTATGTTAAACAACAAATACAGCAGCATTTATGCAAAAATTAAGAAAAAACTCTACTCTACTGCATCTAACGGCTATGAATGCATTTCTAGCTTATTTTGAAACAAAAAATTAGCACATTTTTCTTAATGGATATATAAAATGGAAATGTAAAGCAAAGAATCTGAAGGTTGGTTAGAAATAAACAAATATACATATATGTATGTATGTATGTAAGTATGGAAGCGTATGTGTGTATAAAAGTGTGAGAAAATTTCTCCAAAGAAATGTCATTAAAAAAAAAGAAAAATTCTCGACAACTTTAATTTCTATTCGTCTCGTCTACAAATGAAAATGAGAGAAATTTCTTATCGATTCTAAAGAAAAAAAAAATAAATAAATAAATAAATAAATAAAAATAATTTTTAGAAATATAAAAAAAAAAAGAAGAAGAAGAAATTCAAAATATTTAAAAATTAGAAAATATATGTAATTAAAAATTGGTTAGTGTTTCGTTTTAAACGCGTCTTATAAACAGAGCTATTAATATCGAGTGCTAAACGAATGTACGGGTCAACGGGTTACTGTTTTTTGTTTTTTGTTTTTTTTTTTTAATACTGTCGTGGTCGTAGTTAGTTGATTCGAAAGCATACTATCGGGCGTTAAAATAATAAAAAGAAGAAAAAGTGTTTTACTTACTCAGTTTACTTAAATAAAAGTAATCAGTTCTAAATAAACATTATTAAAAATAAATATAATAATAATAATAATAGTAATAATAATAATAACGTTAAAGCTTTTAATATGTGTCGCTTAAATGTTATTCTTTAGCAGTTAATATCACAGCGCTTTGTATCGGTGTCAATTAGCAGCAGTTGTGATAAGCTGTTCAGTTGTTGAAGGCTAAAGTCCTCGCCCAGCACTTTTTAAACGGATTACTCTTCTCGACAAAAAACAGAAACTATAAATATGTATATATTCTGTGTGCAAGGCGTATGAAATATGTATATATGTTTAAAGCGAGCAATTGTATGTACTTTCACTAAAAACCTCTGCTGAAGAAACTTCAAGCAAAACAATTTTTTATTTTTTTTATATGTGTGTAAAACATGCACATAACATAAACACTAACGCATGGGAAATGCTAAACCATTTTCTATGTATATAAAGGAGAAGAAAGAAAAAAACAACTGTTGGTCGACTTTTTTTAAATGTATGCGTGAGTGAAAAAAACGCTCGTTTAAAAAAATCCTTTCGTGGCTTTTAACAAAAAAAAAAAAAAAAAAATTACGGACTAGCTTTTTTATGGCTTTCAGGCATTCTAATGGTCATTGGCCTGTTGAACGTTGACACAGCCTTAGGCTAAAGGAAAATATAAATAAAAACGCTTTACCGTTGAAAATATTGCTTCAGCTGCCGGCAACAATTTTTCAGCTTAAATGAAATTTTTTGCTTAACACACAAACACTTTCTAAATGAGCAGGCAACTATTTTTCAACTGCTTAGTCAGCAAAGAAAATGCAATAACAACACACGCGTTAGCAATCGCAAGAACAATTGTAAATAAGAAATTTACGTGGACTTGTCCGTCGCCTTCGTCTGTTTATAGGCTGAAATTATAATAAATAATGTTAAGCTTACAAAGAGAATTGAGACGCTCTTAGCGTTTTCCTTTTCATAACCCCTTCAAAAAGGAAAGAAAGAAACAAAAAAAAAAAACAAAAAAAAAAAAAAAAATAGACAAACGACAACAATAGCACTACTACACATACTACAAAGAAAAAGGATCCTTCTTCCTCTCTTCGCTTTCTCGTCTCATACTCCTGCCGGGCCATACCTTCTCTTAGGCTATACAAAGTCTTTTGTCTGCCCTAACTGCATCGTTACTACTTACTTCATATAAGAGCTTAATATCAAACCAGAAAGAAACAAAAAAAAAAAAAAACAAAAAAATAAAAAAATAAGAACGGAACGGAAAAATTTTTTTTTTTTTTTTTTTTTGAATTAAAAAGAAAAGCATTGAGTTATCTCTTTAGGAATGACTGTAAATATGAAGCTGACGACAATGACTACAATGATAATAATAAAAGCTGGCCAAGTGATTGTGAAAAGTCCATTGCACTCGTTTGGCTATATTAAATGCATAAAATGTTCAGGGAACACGAGCATCAGCATCAGCAGCAACAGTAGCAGCAACAGTAACAATAACAACAATAACAATAATAATAAAAACAACGGTCTAGAACAAAGTTGTCGACATCATTGTCATCGGCTGCTGCTGCATCAGAAATATCAACATCAACTTTGGTTAAAAAAACTACAGTTGGTCTGCTTTGGTAAGTAAGACAGCGTGAATTTTTAAACATATATACGATTGCCAGAGAGATTATGGACTTATATATAAACACGCATATGCATACAGATATATACATACAAACAATATATGCCGCTCTATAAAGAGCAACATTACCCGAAGCTATTTCAATTTTCACTTCTCCGCATAAAGATAATTGTTTTTTCCTTCTTTTTCCCTTTTTTTGCCTTTTTTTTTTTCGTTGGTGTTGTTGTTGTTGTTCTGTTATACTGGTTTGTTTATTTTTGTTGTTTTTCTTGCCGTCTGTTTGCTATACAATTATCATCACGTTTTTATTTTCATAGTTGTTGGTTTTTTCTTTTCGTCTTTTTTTTTTTTTTTTTTTTTTTTTGTTTTTCGTTTTTGCTCAGATGCAAAATATACAATACATAAAATGATATTAATGCCATAAAAAAATTATTATATATACCAGAGTGTCAGTTAACATATATATGTACACATATATAATATTATATAACGTTTGTCTGTTCTGATGTGTTGTGCATTGGCTTTGCATTGCACTTAAATAAATGGTTTCTTTCATGCACCTGTTTCTCATGTTAAATTGTTGTTTAACTAGCCAGCAACAAAGCTTTAGTTATATCCCATATGTGGTCTATAAGGCAAACGAATAAACGCATACACAACTTTATTCCAATGATATTTCCTTTTACGTATAGCCAAACAGACAGTTATTATAAGATATTATTAGTCTAGATAGAATTTTTTTTTTTTTTTTTTTATGCTGGTGGGAAATTCAACTAAAATGCAAAGCAATTTGGTTAAACACTTCTACAATGTGATCATTTTGCTCTCTCTCTCTCTCTCTCTCTCTTTCCCTCTCTCTCTCTCTCTCTCTCTCTTTATTGAGAGTTATCCATATAGCTAACTGGTTATAATCACATAAAACGGAATATGGAATCAACCAGCAAACGTGTTTCTATTACTATTATTATTATATAAGCTCGCTAAGCCAGCCGATAGCTAACTGTGCCCGCCTTGCGGAATAAGTCCTAGAATATCAGCATTTTAACATATCGTAGTTTCTATTAATGAATTATTATAAATGGATCACTTTTAATTAAGTCTGCTATCTTCGCCGTAGTCTTCAAACCGATATTTACTGCGTACGCTTATATAAAAATTACTCGGGAAGAACCCATGTTTTACCTTAAATCTTTCAAATAGCTGTAATGATTGTTGTTCTCCGTCACCTTCCTGTTATACTCATTAGTAAGGCAGGTTTAGAGCAGGCGTACACATACCTATATATTTTGTATACGCTACACTACTTGTGGTATGTGGTATATGAAGTTTAAGAATTCTGAGCTTCTATGGCCTACTGACCATATGTCTGTCTGTCTGTTTGTTGTCTGCCCATCGAAATTTGTGTTCAAGCTACTGGTCACAAATTTTGAAACATTCAGCAATGATTTTAAGCCTTTCTATCGCCCTGTCCATCAGTCTGTCTGTCTGTCTGTTGTCTGTCCATGTTAATTTGGTTTCAAGCTACAGGTCGCAATTATTGATTTTTTGTATTTTGGGTATTTTAATGAAATTTGATATATTGACGCGCGTTGATCCAAGGACGAAAGCTATTGAAAATGGTTTGGATGTTTTGGACTTTTTCGACCATTCCGCATATAATGACCTATTTTGAAAAATCGTTATATGGCAAAAAATTGCAATTTGTCGACTCGCTCTGTAATAGTCTTTGGACATATTTTTTGAACCTTCTCCAGTATAACCGTTCCTACGAGAACTGTATCTTTATATAGCAAAAGAGTACAATTTTTAATATTTGATGGTGAAAATCAACCCTAGCGATTTTGGAGATAAATCTATTTTTTTCCATATCAACGCATACAAGGATCCATCCAATGTGCTGACTTTCATGAAAAGTATGCCTTTGCATGAAGATGATGTGTAACCTTTAGTGAATTACTCCCAAAACGAAACAATAAATCTCTTAGGCGAAGTTATGTAGGGTATCTAATAGTTAGTCTTATCCGATTATAATGTTCTTACTTGGTTGTTTTATTGCGCCCTGTCACTCAGCCTCTCCTCTCCGCGTAACAGACCGACCATCAGCGAAAAATTAGGAAAGAAAAAAAAATAGGGAATGACTGTAGCGCAGTGGATGGTCTCCTCTTTTCCTTAAGTGAAGCAAGCACCATAGCTTTGTACCGCACTCAGATGTGTTTCGATGAGAAAAGATTATTATTTTCTCTACGTTTTTATACCCTACGCCATTTGTGCTATAAGAGTACACGACGTTTGTGCGGATGTATAAAATACCTAGAAGGATTTTAGATGGATTCGCTTCTTGCTCGACTCCGATTCACTTTCTGATTCTATCTAAGCTTGTCTATCGGTCTGTCCGTCGTGTTTTCTTGTGTTCAACCAATAGGCCGCAATTTTTGAGATAATTTGATGAAATTTCAAAGACCAACATGTTTTGGCCTAAGGAGGAACGTTATCGCAAATGGTTCGAATGTGACCACTTCTTCGCCCACTTTCCATATAACGCCTTATTTTGTAAAGTCGTCGTACTATAATGCTTATATCAGACTAAAAAATTATTTTATTATAACTTTTGAGCTTATAAAAAGCAGCATTTAAGCAATAGTTTATAAAATTTTCGAAAATTTACTCACTGGGGCCTTGTGTTCGGCTATCTCTTAAAAGAAAACAATTGCCACTGTGGCCCAGATAACATTTGATATCTTTATCTTTCATCAAAAAACTGAATACTCCCCTTTGGTAGGTAACTATAGCTCATCCTTAGACCTAAGAATAAAAAACCAAAAAAGATTTGATTTGTGAAAGATTTGTTTGCAACAAGAGACATGTTTTCCACTGTATAATAAATTGTGATCAGGTTAAGCAGGAGCGACTCTCATCGTTATCTAGAAGATAAATTTTCAATAAAAGATCTGTACATATGTGCCTGTGCCGCGTACAACTCGTCGAGCCTAACGAGCGGGACTTTTCAAAGCCCTTTCTTAATGCTTGAAACTTTGTTGAAATGCTCTCAACATGTACTATGCCATAAAGAAATTAAAAAAGGTGAGTTAGTAAATAATCACACAAACTCTTTTGTGAGAAATATGATATAATAAGGAAGATGCGTGCATATTGTAAGCAAATTTTAGAAAGGCAATAAGGTAAGCCACCGAGACCGAGATTGTCGTCTAAACTCTTTTAATAGCCTCGGCATCTGCCAAAAGTGAAATTTCAAAGAAAAATTCCATGAAATTTTATTCATAGATATATACTTTCAAAGTTGAAAAAGTAGACGTAATGTACTGGCCGTAATCTAGGAGCCGAGCTGTGTTTTCATTCATTCATCTTCAATTAGCGTAGCAGTAAATCTCTGTTAGGATGCATTTTATGGAATTTCCCTTAATGTGTTGAATATAACTAAAATATAACTGAAACAAAATCTAAATGTATTTATGTGTATATATATAAAGTAAGTATTGTACATATAAGAAAGGTTACAAAAAATTAATATGTGTAACGCCTTAAGGGAGTTTAATATAATTGCCTTTGGCAAAAATTCTAATTTTAAGGGTTAATAATGGATGTGCTTTTGGCGCTGTTTATATTCCAAGTCTCGATCAATTTTATGATTTAATTGATTGTCCTGTTAGCCTTATCACCACGCCTGGCGATAATATTCATTTGTTGTTGTAGTACGCTATATTCCTCCGTGAGGTGATCGTATTCCTTGGTAAGACTCGCAGCTTGCGATTTCAAAGCTTCTTGGTCCTTCTGCTCACGCTTCAGTTCCCCAGTTAACACGTGAATGCGTTCCTTTATCTTGGTGATCACAGCTAACGTTCTCTCTTCTTTAGCTTCACCAGCTTTTTCGATATTTTTGTCTTCCTTGTTCTTCTTGTCACGATTCAGTTCCGCAGTTAACTCGTGAATGCGCTCCTTTATCTTGGTGATTACAGCTAACGTTCTATCTTCTTCTAACTCGTGAATGCGCTCCTTTATCTTGGTGATCTCAGTTAATGTGATATCTTCTTTAGCTTCATCAACTTTTTCGGTATTTCTGTGTTCTTTGTCCTTCGTCTCACGATTCAGTTCCGCAACTAACTCATGAATGCGCTCCTTTGGCTTAGTGGTCACACCTAATAGCATATCTTCTTTAGCTTCATCAACTTTTTCGGTGTTTCTGTCTTCCATCAACGAACGTATGATTGCAGAAGCAGATTGTGCTTGTTTTAACGATGCCTCACTTTGAGCCTGCACCGAGATTAATCTTACTAAACGTCGTATAACCAATACTAGTAAAATAAGAAAACCAGATATGTAGATATTACGCTGAGCTCTGAAAAAGCGCATACTATGCTGCATTTTGGTGCTTAAGGGAACGTCTGACGAATGTTCCCAATTCGAATATATACGCATTTCGCGAATGGCTTCGAATAGAAACAAAACTAATACGCCCATAATAAGGAAGAAATATAGATAAAACCGCCGAGTTATGGTAGCCAAAAATGTTGACTTGAAGAAACGATTCCATTTGTGTGGGCTAGCCACAGGTAAAACTAATAAGAGTACCACGCAGATTTCAGCGTACAAAAAACCGGTTAACAAAGTCCAAACCAGATCCATTTTTACAATCAAATTTTATTGTATTGCTGCTGAAATGTACTATTTTTTTTTTTTAATTTTATTTATTATTATTGAAATTAATATTGAATGTCTCCGTTTCTCTTAAATTTCAACAAAGACTGATGACATTTCGAAATCGAAATTTCCTATGCTGATTAAGCGGTTTACTTTTTGATAGAATATTAAAATTTAATCTGTCAAAAGTGGAAAAAGACAGGAAGTATGCCAGGAATTGCAGTCGAAATATTGCTTAACTGACGCTCGATACTCTTCTCTGAACTATTGGAAGTCTGTTTTAGCTTTAAGTTAAAACTCTTCTTTTTTTTTTTAGGCTGTCATGGATACCTAACTTGCCTGGATTAGGTTAGAAAGGAGCCTCAAGTGTATTTAAAAACCCGCACGCTTTCTTATTCAACTATCAGTGCTGTGGTAAAACCACAAAAAGCGAAGATTATATTGGCTTTCTTTCTTTTTCTCACAGAGCGGTTATCAACCAAAATGTTTTGACGGTATACCGCTTGAAGATATATATTCATTCATTTCTGGATGATTCGTTTTGTACAGTAGGGATATATTGTTTTTACCTTTATTCGATCAGAGCATTGGATCCGAGCACTGCTTTGTAAAGGGTCTGCAAGCCTTTGTACGAAAAATATGGAGCTCTAATGTTTACCTTTATTCGTTTAAAGTATAGGATCAAGCATTGGAACAAACCAATTGCATCTCTTTCATTAAAGGACAAACGCATAAGCTTCCAGCTTAGTTTTTAATGAACCATAAATATGAATGAACATTTTTGCCGAATGATTTTTCTCTCTGTTCACTGCCCGACTACTTATTCTAGGCGATTAGGCGGCGTAGTTATGTGTGTAGCTTTAAAATGTAAATGAATAAACTTCGTATTGTTATTGGTAATTTAGCCAGAGAAGTAAATTCCAGGACCTAAGTCTTCAAGCAGTAACATATTTTAGCCTATCGGCTTTGTTGAAACCTCTATCGCACTTGAGATTTGAATCCGCGGTCATTTATTCATTAGTCGAGACTCTATGTCTGGCTACAGTTTTAAGCTGATTTTTATTTCCTCAATGATATGTTTATTAGTTTTTTTAATTAGTCTGAATTTTATTTTTGGCTTCTTTTACTTCATTGCAACCACAAGTAAATCTTTGTCTAAAAGAAAATATTTTCATTTGTATCATTTATTTTCATTTCTGAGATAAATAAAAAAGCTACATGAGAACGATAGAAAAAGTGGCAAAATTCTATGCAGGACCTCTGTAAGAGGTCGCGTTAAATTTCCTATATCTCTAATGTTGTTGTTATAAAACCAATTTATTAATGAATAGAATAGTTGGAGGAATTGAAGCTAGTTTTGTAATGAATTTCCTTCAATTAAACTGCTTCAGCTTCATATCGTATGCAAATGATGTACATACATAGATAATGGAGTCAAATTTTCATTCTCTCTCCTCAACTACTAGTGCTATGCTTGCAAGTGCTGTCCAACAATATTGACATTTCAATTAATTTTTTTAGGGTTTTCTCAATAAATGCTTTGCCAGGCAATTACTATGCATATGTTTTTGCATATATTTTCCATGAGTAGTGTAACAAAATGCTTCCATTTATATATCAATTTCAATTGTTTTAATTTTTATGCATATGATAATCATGCACTGCAGAATAGTTTTCATAAGCGTAAAAAACTGTATCCTCTTTGCCAAGCATCCCATGCAATATTTAATAATAAGTTGATGTGGAATATACATAACATAACATGTATGATACATCATTTGCTGGTCTCAAACAATTTAAAAGAAAAACCACAAAACAAATTCATTGAAATGGTGCAAGAATTCGCATCATGTATGAAACTACATTGAATGCATAGAGAGAAAGGAAGAGTCCGAGAAATCATTGCGTTAATTAGAGGTAGAGGTAGGAGAAGAAGCATTCATCAGCATCATTCCTCTTCCACCTCCACCATCATTGTAATTAATTCTATTTCGTTTCATTTCGGCCAGCAATAACAACCGCAACACATTTATGATGAAAAACCACTCAATATACTCCCAATATTAAACCGTACAACCACAATACAATTTCACGTATATAATTGAGCAAACAAACCGACAGAGAGAGAGAGAGATAATGGCAAAGCATACGTAGGTAAAGGCCGTCATTGAAAAAATTACAAATACCGAATGAATAGAAACTTGAAAAGGTAGCAATGATCCGACATAGATTTGATGTAAGAATATTTATTGTTGTAAGTTTGGTCGAACGGTGGCCCATCCATGAGATATGAGAGCAGGGGAAAACTTAACTCTGAAAATGATCTAAAAGAGGCTTTGTAAGTAACAAACTCTTCTACTATCTTTTCAATACTTTCGTTTTTTTTTTTCTTTTTCTATAGTTAGCCGAGAGAAGATGAATTGCTAAGAAAGCCTCTAAAGCATTGTTTCCTTTGGTTATTAGATAGATTTATTGGCTGTCTATCTGTCCATTCATAACAGATAAATTATTATAACCACACAATTGTTTTGTTTGTATATCTAGGCAATCACTTCTCTTGTAGATAGATTAGCAAAGTTTTTGCAATTTTCTAAACTCATTTCAAGTTTTTCTTTTAACTCAGTTACCACATTTAAATGAAATTTCTAGAAAATTGACTTAACCTGTTTTAGGAAAAAAAAAAAAAAAAAAAAAAACATTATGTAAATATTGAAAAAATATAATGCGATAAAGTATGTTGTTTGTCTTGATAAAAGAGTTCGATGTGTATTGAGTCGTGCAAGTGTTGCTAATAGAACCTTCTAAAGCAAAGAATCTATGGTCAACAACTAGGTTGATTAGCGGTTAATAAAAGTTTTACTAAACTAATAAAATTAATTTCACATTTTTTCTGGAATCATTTCATATTCATCTACAGTTTAATATCAGTTTATAAGTCCACTCTTCCAGAAGGAAAATGTTTTATAAATATCGTAATACTTCATTATTGATCGGCAGACTTACTACCCATGTTGCACTAAGTTTATGGAATCGTTTTAAATAAACAGTTTTTAGCGTTTGCTTTAAAGCGACAGGTTTGTCTCATGTGCGGCCAAGGGGAGTCTTAGAAGAAGTTCGTCTTTATTTTTATAGGAGAAGGCATTTTTCTTCTCTTGTATATTTGCTTCTCTTGCTGGAGACCATAAATCAGCTGTTCTTATAAAGTAACTTCTCATGCTACTATGAAGTAATATTAGCTATGGCCGCAGTTGGGTGTGTGCTGTGTTAAAGATACTGCGCTGAATGACCTTCCGGGACACATGAAAATTCGAAATGACAAGGGTGGCTTGGGCCACGTATAGTGGGAGATCACACAAAGCTGTACCGACTAACGAATAGTCAAACAAGTGTGCGTTCACGAGTGCCAAGTTGTCCGGCTAAAGATTGCTCCTAATAAATATGATGCACATGCCATTAGATTGCCGTGAGAATGCTACCTTGGCTGTCTATCGGGTACAATCCTTCGGGAGGGATCGTGACGGCTGTGGTGGCACATCAAGCAATGGAGTGTTTGGTAGGTGTCAAGGCTGGCAACAGTTGCAAGAGGGATTCCTCAAAACCAATTATTTATTATTCTAGTACTTTAGCCGGTTTAGGCCGGTTAACGCTGTCGTGGCAGGTGCTCAAGGAAAACCTTAAAGAAATTTCCACATTCCTCACCTACCATAAATGACCAATTATTTGGCTCATTTCGAGCAGCTCCTTGACTATACAATATAAGTTATTATCTCTTTGATCAATAGGATAGTCTGGTCAAAACTATTAAGAGTAAACTGGCGTCTTCTAACACTATATCATTAATTGTGGCGCGACACCACAACGTTGATACAACTCTTATTGACTTTTTGACGTGTTTAATTAAAGATTGTTGCTGCAAAATCAATTCAACTTTCTCTTAGAGTAGATATGGCAGCTCTAGACTTTTTCATGTGAAGACATTATCTGTTCCGTAACAGTGTGTGCAACGTTTCTTTTTTTTAAGGTCAGAATAGGCCGAGTCGAACAACGGCAACATAAGAATATCTCTCTAACGCGGTGATATGGATTGAATCAACCAAGAGAAACCATCACTGGAAAATACCACTCATTACAACAACGGCTGCCACTAATTTGAATATCGAGAGCAATATACCAAAAGTTATGACATCTAGAGTTTTGAGTTAGTCATTAGCACTGAGCTACTCTCACACTACTTCACCTGATTGATATGGATTCAAATTGACAGTGTTATGTCTGGGTAGCCACAAAATGAGTGATTACGTATATAGTCCCGAGAGGAGGAGAGAGGAGAGGACTCTTTCCTATTCTGTCAGCAAGATAAGAAAAATGTCTAGCTATCGTCAAAAACCCTTTGACGGTATGTTGAGTGTTCAAGATTCGCTTTAAGCTCCCTATTAGTTGCTTCTCTGTTCATTAATTGAACGTAAGATATGAATTTTTGATTGAAATATTTTCAATCAAAAACCCACTTTTTATTCTTTTTGTTTACATCTCAATTATTATTGCAGATTTAAACGTTCCATTTTTATTTTTTATTTGTTTTTCTTCTTTTTTGCTGTTGTTGTTGTTGATGTTGTTGCGCTTTATTTGCGATACATTTTTTTTTTTTTTTTTCTTTTTCAATTTAAACTTACGCCCCTTATTCTGTTCGCATAAACGCTTATAAGCGAAATGGTCGTAAAATTTGTAGTAACAGAGTTTATAATGGAAGAGAAAAACAAAACACATAAGCATCATTTAGAACCGAAAAGATATACCTCTACCCTCGGCACATGACATACATTTAGTATTTTGTGTAGGAAAAAAAAAAAAAACTTTCATTATCCTTTGTGTCATTGTGCTGCTGTATTATCGTTGCCTGCTAAAACTCTGTAAGGGGGGAATCGAAAAGAGGTTAAATGGAATCCAGAATAAAGGATAGCATAAATACCATCATCTTGTTTAATCAAATCGACCACGTAAACTATAAGTAGCAATAAATGTT